CTGTAAGGGGCCTCTGTGCTCCCTGTTGCCCAGGGGGTTAGAGTGCCCAGAGATCCCCAGATTCCCTGCCTCTGGTCTAAGTGTCCTGTCCTGCCCCTTTTAGACTTCCAAAAAACACTCTCCAAACCAAAACAACAATAGCAACAATGAAAGAGGAAACAGAAAAAAAAAAAAAAAGGGAAAAACACGCTATTTTTTTTGTCCTCAGGCGCCGGTCCCAGGCACCCGCTCACCAGTCCTGCTGCCCTGCCTCCCTAGTACCGGGTCCCTGTCCCTTCAAGGGTTCCAAAAGCACCCGCCGAAAAAATAAAAAGGGAAAAACGCGTGATATTGTTTGTCCTCAGGCACCGGTCCCAGGCACCCACCCGCCGGTCCCAGGCACCCGCCCACCGGTCCTGCCACCCTGCCTCCCTAGCACTGGGGTCCCCGTCCCTCCAAGGGCTCCAGAAAACACTCGCCAAAAAAAAAGGAAAGAACGTGTGACCCTCTCCGTCCCAAGGCGCCGGTCCCAGGCACCTGCTCACTGGCCCTGCCACCCTGCCACCCTGCCTCCCTGGCACTGGGGTCCCTGTCCCCCTAAGGCCTCCAAGAAGCATTGCCAAAAAGAGAAAAACGGGAGAAACGCACGATTTTCTTTGTCCTCAGGCGCTGGTCCCAGTCACCCGCCCACCAGTCTTGCTGCCCTGCCTCCCTTGTATTGGGGTCCCCGTCCCTCCAAGTCTTCCAAAAAACACTCACCAAAAAAAAAAAAAAAGGGAAAAACGCACGATTTTCTTTGTCTTCAGGCGCCAGCCCCAGGCCCCCGCCCACCGGTCCCGCCGCCCTGCCTCCCTAGCATTGGGAAAAACACGTGATTTTCTTTGTCCCCAGGCGCCGATCTCAGGCACCTGCTCACCAGTCTTGCTGCTTTGTTTTGCTGGTATTGGGGTCCCTGTCCCTTTAAGGCTTCCAAAAAGCACTCGCCAAAAAGAGAAAAAAAAAGGGGAAAAACGCGCAATTTCCTCTGTCCTCAGGCGCCGGTCCCAGGCACCCACTCACCGGTCCTGCTGCCCTGCCTCCCTAGCACTCGGTCCCTGTCCCTTTAAGGCTTCCAAAAAGCACTTGCCAAAAACAAAAAACCGCTCTGGTTTCTTTCCACCCGCCGGGAGCCGGGGGGAGGGGCGCTCGGTTCCCGCCGGGCCAGGGCTTGTATCTTATCCCCTTTGCACGGCGCTGGGCTCTTGCAAGTGTGGATGTGGTCTGGATGTTGTCCTGTGTCCTCTGGTCTCTATTTTAGGAAGATTTTTCTTTGTTATATTTTCATAGATCTATGTGTTTTTGGGAGGAGATTTCCACTGCTCTACTCACGCCGCCATCCTGGCTCTGCCCCTCATTTCAGTTTTAAATGCCTTTGCAGTGTTATTTAGATCTGTGTCACATATGTACTACCCATTGGCAAATCTGGGGCTTTGGGGGAGATTTATCTGTTAGCTTAGACCTCACAATTTTTGGTATGCTGAGGAGGATCAGATTTATGTATCTACAGCTTAAGAGTAAACTCAGAAGTTCATAAACAACTTTATAGGTTTGCTTTTTTCTCTCTCTAAAACCTCTTCTGTACTTTCCAGTTCCCTGGCTTCTATTTATGGCACCTTGGCTGATTAGCTGGTGCTTTTGTTTTTCTGTTTTGCTCTGTACTTCTTCAGCCTTTGTATGTCCAGGGCTAGGCAGTGGTAGGATAGATGGAGGAAAGAAAGCAATGGAGATTGGCTCCACCCTATTGAAGCCCAGTCTTCTGAACAGAGGTGAAAGTTTTTCACCCTCAGAGTGTTGGCTCTGATGTGCTTCTGTCCCCAGGCACTGGGATATGAGAGAATACAGAAATGAAAGAGAAAACAATGGTAGAATACCTGTACTTTCTCTATGTGTTTGGAGTTCCATTTACTGGTTCTTGAGCCAGAGCAAGAGGGCTTCTCCTGAGTTCCTTGTGTCTGAGCTTCAGTGCAGTGCCAGGCTTCTGGTGCACTGTATCCAAGCTGGGAGATACCAGAGTATGGCAAATGATAAATTTACTTCCACTTATTGGTACTTCAAATTTTGGTGGTCCTTCCCAATCCTTTTGCTACTATTTACAGTCTTCATATAACTACTCCATGTATTCTGTCAAGATTTGATGGCTGTATGCAGTGGGAGAGATGGTGTGAAGTGTGACAACTAGAACTGTAACTCTTGATTTAGATATATGTAATTTTCAATAATATGAGTAATGCCCAGTATATAAAACTTATTTTTCTTTTGTTGTCAGTGACAGTATATGAAGTGCACGTGGCAACTGGTGAGCTTTGGAATGCTGGAACAGTCGCAAATGTCTACATTTCTGTCTATGGGGAAAAGGGAGATACAGGATGCAGGCAACTACTTCAATCAAAGGGCTCCTTCAATTTTTTAAGAGGACAAGTAAGTGACCAAGAAGTCCTTCATCTGGGTTTTGAAAAAGCTGTGGTAACTAATATATAGAATAAAATTATTATCTTAGCTAATTTTAAGTATACAGTTCAGTAGTATTAATTATATTCACATTGCTGTGCAAAAGATCTCCAGGAATTTTTCATCTTGTAAAACTGAAATTCTATACTCATTAAACAACTCATTTCCCCCCTTCCCTAGTCTTTGGTAACCATTATTCTACTTTCTGTTTTTATAAATTTGACTACTTAAATATATCATCATATAATTTGGAATCATACGTTAGTTGCCTTTTTGTGACTGGCTTATTTCAGTTAGCATAATGTTCTCAAGGTTCATTCATGCTGTAGAATGTGACAGGATTTTCATTCATTATAAGTCTGAATAATATTCTGGTGTGTGTATATACCACATTTTCTTTATTCATTCATCTATTGATGGACATTTAATTCTTTCAAACTCTTGGCTATTGGGAATAATGCAGTGATGCAGTGGGTGTGCAAATATCTCTTCAGTACTCTCCATCCAGCTCTTTTGGATATATACTCAGAAAGCAGGATTGTTTGATAATATGGAAGTACAACTTTTAATTTTTTAAAGATTGGCATGATGTTTTCCATAGTGATTGCACTATTTTACAGTCTCACCATTAATGCACAATTTTTCTAGCTTTTTACATCCTTGTCAACACTTGTTATTTTCTGCTTTTGACTGTAACTGTCCTAATGGGCATAAAGTGATACCTCACTGGGTTTTGATTTGCATTTTTCTATGTTAAATGATGTTGACGTCCATTCATATGCTTATCATCTTAGACATCTGATAATTTTTATTAAAATCCTTTGCTATTTTTAAATTAAGTTATTTGTTGTTAAGTTGTAGGAGTTTTATATATATTCTAGATATTTAACCCCCTATGATACATACGATTTACAAATATTTTCTACCATTCTGAATGTTGCCTTTTTCTCTCTTTAACTGTATCTTTTGATGAACAGACCCCCCCCACACAGTCTCTCCCTACTCATAATCAATGGTTTGTTTCCTGTATCTGAGTCATCTTCTGTTTTGCTTTGCTTGTTTTGCTTATAGATTATACATATAAGTGAAACAGTGTTAGTCTTTGACTTAATTTTGCATAATATACTCTAGGTGCATGCATATTATAAAAAATGGCAAGATTTCATTCTTTTTAATGGCTGAGTAGTATTCCATTTCATGTATGTATACACACACTCATATATATATATATAAAATCTTTTTCCATTCATCTGTACATGGACACTTAGATTGCTTCTATATCTTAACATTGTAAGTAGTGCTGCAGTGATCGTGGGATGTATGTGTATTTTTAAAATTGGATTTTAATTTTTTTTTCAGATAAATACCTAGAAGTGATTGTTGGATCATATGGGAGTTCAATTTTTGATTTTTTGAGGAACCTCCATAGTGTTGTCCATAGTGGAAGCACCAATTTACATTCCCATCAATAGTGCACAAGGGTTCCCTTTTTTCCACATCCTTGTCAATACTTACTGTTTCTTGTCTTTTTGATGATAGTGAATGTGACAGGTGTGAGATGATAATTCCCATTGTGTTTTTTATTTACATTTCCTTGATGATTTGTGTTGTAAGCATCTTTTCATGTGCCTGTTGGCCATCTGTATGACTTCTTTAGAAAAATCTCTGTTCAAGTCCTTTGCCCACTATTTAATTGGGTTATCTGTTTTTTGATATTAAGTTGTGTAAGTTCTTTATTTATTTTGGATGTTAACCACTTATTGGATATATGATTTGCAAATATATTCTCCCATACAGTAGATTGCTTTTTCTGTTGTGTTGATGGTTTCCTTTGCTGTGCAAAAGCTTTTTAGTTTGATATAATGCAATTTGTTTCTTTTAGATTTATTGCCCTTGCTTGAGAAGACTGGTCCAAAAAATATTGCAAAGATTGGTATAAAAGAGCTTACTGCCTATGCTATATTCTAAGAGTTTTATGGTTTCAGGCCTTACTTTCAAATCTTTAATCCATTTTGATTTTGTTTTTCTATATGGTATAAGATAGTGGTCCGTTTCATTTTTTTGCATTTAGCTGTCTTGTTTTCCCAGCACTGTTTACTGAAGAGACTCTTTCCCCATTGTATATTCTTGTCTCCTATATCTTAATTGAACATATATGTGTGGGTAAACTTCTAAGCTTTCATTTTTTTAAATTGAAGTATAGTTGATATAATATGCAATATTATATTAGTTTCAGATGTACAACACAGTGGTTCAATAATTACATGGATTATTAAATCCTCACCCCAACTCCTGCAGTTACTGTCTGTCAACATAGAGAGGTGTCACAGAACCATTGGCTATATTTTTCATGCTTCACTTCCATCTCCATGACCAACTTATGTTATGATTGAGCTTTTTGTGACACTTTATCTCTATTACCTTCCTCACCCACTTGCCTGAACCCCTCTCCTGTGGTAACAACCAGTCAGTTCTCAGTGTCTATGAGTTTACTGCTGTTCAGTTCATTTTCTTTTTTTTAGATTCCATGAATAAGTGAAATCATATGGTATTTGCCTTTCTCTACCTGACTTATTTCACTTAGCATAATACCCTTTAGGTCCATCTATGTTGTCAAAAATGGCAGGATTGCTTTCTTTATTATGGCTGAATAATACCCCATTGTGTATATGTACCACACCTTATTTACCCATTCAATTATTCATGGAAACTTTGGATGCTTCCAAATCTTGGTTATTGTAAATAATGTGACAGTAAATATAGGGGTGCACATGTCTTTGTGAATCAGGGATTTTGTTTTCTTTGGGTAAATTCCTAGAAGTGAAGTTACTGGCTCAAATGGTATTTCTATTTTAAGTTTTTTGAGGAAACTCCATGCTGCTCTCCACAGTGGTTGCACCAATTTACATTCCCACCGACAGTGTATGAGTTTTCTCTTTTCTGAGCATTCTTGCCAATACATGTTATATCTTGTCTTTTAGATAGTGGCCATTCTAACTGGTGTGAGGTGACATCTCATTGTGGTTTTGATTTGCAATTCCTTGATAATTAATGATGTGGAGCATCTTTCCATGTGCTGGTTGGCCATCTGTATTTCTTCTTCTGATAAATGTCTGTTCATGCCCTTCACTCATTTTTTTAAATTGGGTTATTTGAGTTTTTTTTGGTGTTAAGGCATATGAGTTCTTTGTATATTTTGGGTGTTAACTCCTTATTGGATAAATTATTTGTGAATATATTTTTCCATACTGTAGGCTACATTTTTGTTCTGTTGATGGTGTCCTTTGCTGTACATAAGCTTTTTAGTTTGGTGAAGTCCCACTTGTTCATTTTTTATTTTGTTTCCCTTGTCCGGGGAGATAAGTCTAGAAAAAAGTTCATTCCTATGTTTATGAGATTTTTACCTATGTTTTCTTCTAAAAGTTTTATGATTTCATCTTATATTTAGTTCTTTAATCCAAATTTTTCAGTGTATAGAGTTTGTAATCTAGTTTCATTCTCTTACATGTAGCTGTCCAGTTTTTCCAACACCATTTATTTATTAATTGAAATATCATTAATATACAATCTTATATTGGTTTCAAATGTACAACACATTGGTTCAACAGTTACCCATATTAAATCCTCACCCCCTCTAGTGTGGTTACTATCTGTCAACATAGAAAGATGTTACAAAATCATCGACTGTATTTATTCTCCATGCTATACTACTGTCCCCATGAACACTTATTTTGTGATTGTGAATTATTGCGCCCATTTATCCCCCTCCTCCCCTTCCCCAACCTGTCCCAACTCCTCTTCCTTGATAACCACTAGTCACTTCTATGTGTCTGTGAGTCTACTGCTCTTTTGTTCCTTCTGTTTTGCTTTATTATATTCCATAAATAAGAGAAATCGTGTAATATTTGTCTTTCTCCACCTGGCTTATTTCACTGAGCATAATACACTCTAGAACCATCCATGTTGTTGCAACTGGCAGAATTTATTTTATTTTTATTGCTGAATAATATTCCATTGCCAACACCATTTATTGAAGAAACTGTCTTTTCTCCATTGTATATTCATGACTCCTTTATCATATATTAATTGACCATATATGTGTAGGTTTATTTCTGGGTGTTCTATTCTGTTCTATTAGTCTGTATGCCTTGTTTTGTGCCAGTACCATATTGTCTTGATTATTGTAGCTTTGCAGTACAGCTTGAAGTCAGAGAGCATAATAAACCCATTTTTGTTCTTTCTTATGATTGCTTTGGCTATTCTGGATCTTCTGTGGTTCTATATGAATTTTAGCATTATTTGCTCTAGTTCATTGAAAAATGCCATTGGTATTTTGATAGATGCATCAAATCTATAAATTGTTTGGGCAGGATGGCCACTTTGACCATATTAATTCTTCCCATCCATGAGCGCTGGATAGATTTCCATTTATTTGTGTCTTATTTCTCTCCTCAGTGACTTAAGGTTTTCAGAGTACAGGTCTTTTACCTCCTTGGTTAGGTTTATTCCTAGGTATTTTATTCTTTTTGATGCAATTGTGAATGGAATTGTTTTTCTGATTTTTCCTTCTGCTAGTTCATTGTTAGTGTATAGGAATGCAACAGATTTCTGTGTATTAATTTTGTATCCCACAACTTTGCTCAATTCAGATATTAGATCTAGTACTTTTGGAGTGGATTCTTTAGTTTTTTTATGTACAATATCATGTCATCTGCAAACAGTGTCAGTTTAACTTCTTCCTTACCAATTTAGATGCTTTTTATCTTTTTGTGTTGTCTGCTTGCTGTGGCTAGGACCTCCAGTACTATGCTGAATAAAAGTGGTGATAGTGGGCATCCTTGTCTTGTTCCCGATCTTAGAGGAAAGCTTTTAGCTTTTCGTTGTTGAGTATGATGTTAGCTGTTGGTTTGTCATAAATGGCCTTTATTATGCTGAGGTACGTTCCTTCTATATCCATTTTGTTGAGAGTT